ACTTACTTTCATCATACAAGCTGAGGTAAAAATGCCTCCCACGTATACCATCCAGAAATACCCTCGACATAACGGTAAGAAATTAGTGGCAATGGTGTCTTCATCTAGCTAATATCTTATGATAATACGGGAGATATTTCTGGAAGGTATACGTAGGTCTTTCTGTTGCACCGGGTATAAAAATGACTTAATATAAAAAAAATCGTATAATCTCCTTTTTCGAAATTGGACATAATAGTGATGAAGAGAAACGTTATATTACACGAGGTCCGATGGAAAAAAATTGTTCTTTAATTTAATTAGAAATATATTAGCCAGAAGATGGCATGAGATGGTATCAGAAATTTCCTGCTGTGATTGTATCATTCAACAAAAATGTGCCGTGTAAGACGATAAACTACATCCAACAGCAAGGCTTCTGGTCAGGAGGTTTTGAGAAGCGTGGAACCACTTCTTAATAGCTGTTGTTCCCAGGTCCACATGACCCATGGTGGTATCAGCTGTTAGGGTCCCACCTATGGGCAAATAGTTAACCCCCAAAACTGGGGTCAAAAGAGTATGAAAGTATAAAAATACGTTTTAATACCAATAATGTATTTTTGGAAACATTCTTACCAGCAATAGATTGTTGAAGAAACAAATTATTGCCAGCAATAGATTGTTGAAGAAACAAATTATTGCCAGTAATAAAAAACTTGTCCGCATTAAATAACCTATTGAAGTTGAAAAACTATAAAAAAACCAAACCAATGCAAACAGCACTGAGCTGCGATGTAATATCACTCTTCGTATACGACAGTGAATACAGCACAATCTCTTTTCAGACGAAGAAGAGACTTGAAGCAACCGAAAACTAAAAATCAGAGATTTAAAGTGTTGTAACCTAGGGAACGTTACTGAATAGAATAATCATATGAAGGTTGGTAATGCACGATAATACTTAGGACAAGAACAACACATAAAAGATTCGCGTAGAAGTAGTCAACTGAATTCCACAATGAATCTCCAACTGCAGGATATCTACCAACCGTCCCCCGCGGTCAGATGTGGCACAAGAAAAAAAGAATAATACTACCAGCAATAAAAATCTTGCCGTCATTAAATAACCTATTGAGGTTGATAAGCCGTAAAACAAACCAAACTAAAATGTGCCAGAAGCTAATGGTCAGTGTTATTCAATCTATCTATTGCATCAGTTTTCTAACAATCTCCTACCCTGTGTTTCGTTCTGTGACTGTCGTCTCTAGGATCCCACGCTACTACGTAAAACGGTATAAGGGAAAAATACCGTTTCTTTTTCTTAATCATTTTCTTAGGAGAGGGTTGTTGTAGCTTGGTTTCTAAGAGGCAGCTGGGAGTAATGATAGGAATGCATGTCGCACGTTGGCTCAGCGTCCCATCGCGGGTGGTCTTAGTCGGTCTTCAACCTGGGTGTGGGAGGCGTATCTACACTACAGAATTCTTGCGGCTCCCTGTTCAATTTGCGCCATTTTAGACTTATGTCAAAATCCCAGACACCACACCAACAAGGCACCCGGCCAATCGCTGACCATCATGGTCTTGGCCTTCGTATTCTGTAACACCTGTCAGCGAGACCCTGTATACGCTTACTCTGTCCTCTCTAGTGAGGACGGGGTTAAATCGCACAAAAAGTTGCCACCTGACGAATGGATGTTTGCGGATTTAGGTATGGCCAATTAATGGTTGCCGACCGACTTGAGGATTATAATAGAAATAAAAATAGATTTCGATATTGAATAGCCAGGCAAAAGACGAGATGAGTTAAAATCCACTAGTCAACATGTGACACCATATCCTCACCCCACTGGACCCACACACTCCACAAGACGGGCCGTTGGTCCGGTATGGTTCAGTATTACGGGTTCGACACAAGTCTCCGGTTCCCAATGTAAATTCGAAACCACCTTTCAGCCATATTGTGATTGTTTTGACCCTGGAGAGTGGTCATCAGATCTTAGAATTCCGGAAGCTCTCCGTTGGTCTACCAGCGAGTTCGTCGGGTGATAATCAGGTTAACAAAAAAATAAATATAGTCTATTCGATTTTGAAAGGGAAAAATATTTATATATATATATATATATATATATATATATACACACACAAAATAATTCTTGTTGCACAAGGTTGAATGTTTCTTGTATGTAAACAATAACTAAACAAACACAAGTACTTGGAATAATTTCGGTAAAAGAGAGATGTGGCCTTCTTTTTAACCCTTTTCGGTTTGTTCTTAACGCAACTACTACAACTTTCGATGTTCCCGTTCTCATTAGTAGTAGCATAAGTAGCGGTACTTAAATTTTAGTGGTGGGATTTCGCTTGTTCGCCTTCAGCTTCAGCAACACACAGCGGATGCTTCCTTTTCAATTTCTGGCGTCTCTCTATACTCAGTTCTGTGAGTGTCAAATTTTCCAAGCCCTCTTTCACCATTATATGCCCTAGAAATATTAACTCTCTCTTTCTGGTGTTAAGTATAATTGTCCTTTTTGTTTTTATTTTATCTAAAACTTCGTTGTTGCTCACATATTCAGTCCATGGTAGTCTCAGAATCTTTCTGTAGAATCACATTTCTGTTGCTTCAAGTCACTTCTTCGTGTATGAGGAGATTGTCCAGTATTCACTGCCATATAGTCAGTCAGTTGTGCCATGCATGATACACGCTTAGGAAATCTTGTAACTTTCGATACATGACTGACAAGGCAGATTTTTCCCCGCAGTAGGTTACCATTTATTTTTGCAGTAGACCATTAGCCATCCAAGGTTATAGAACCCGGTCTGTTCTGGGGAGAAGAAGAGGATTCATACCTTTCCCAAGGGCATTAGAACGTAAGTGAATGTAATGGATTGGACTGGAATTCGAACTCTGGTCTCGGATTCTTCAATCCGAGCCGCTATCCATTCAGTACGGTTTTCTTTGTTTCTATCCAAATTTTCCTGTTTTTTTAATACTCTGCTTCACTTTTGGAAGGCATGTTTCGCTATCCTAATGTGCCTTCTGTTTTCAGTGTTTACTTTCCATCTTCTGTTAGAACACTTCTCAGATATTTAAATTGCTGTACTTGTTTGATTTTGGTATCCCCAACTTGTAATTTTCATGCTGGGATGTACCTTTTGCTAACAACCATACATTCTGTTTTCTTTCAATTGATGCTTAGTCTTTTCTTATCGCTTTCCTTCCCTACCTTCTGTAGAAGTTTTTCTAGCTTTCTTTCTGTGTCTGCTATCAGCACTGTGCCATCTGCATACCTTACGTTGTTAAGATTGCATTTTGATGTCACGCTTTCCGTCATCGGTTAAAACACTTCCCAGATAATTAAATTGCTGTATCTGTTTGATTTTGGTATCTCCACTTTGTACTTTGCATGTTGGGCTGCCCCTTTTGCTGACAACCATACATTCTATCTTCTTACAATTGATGTTTAGTCCTTTCTTCTCTCCTTCACTACCTTCTGTAGGAGTTCTTGGAGTTTCTTTTGTATGTCCACTATCAACACCGTGTAATCTGCATACCTTATGCCAAGATGGTAGCCACCAGTAATGAATCCTGATAGGACTACTAATTCTCTCAGAATCACCTCTCTGTATAAGTCGAATCAGTCCAGTGATGAGATACATCGTTGTTTTACACTCCTTTCTATTTTTGTATGCTAGAATCTGTTTGCAACACGCATTTTTTTTATTAAATAAGTATTTCTTATTTTAATCATTTAAATTATTTTTTTAAATAATGGGAGTATTGTATTTTGAATGTTAAATAATAAAACTTATGTATCCCATAACTGTTTGAACTTCTCCCTAAAATTTGGCTTCGATCGGTCACTGTATGGCTATTTTAGAGGGTGTGACGGACGGACTAACGGATATCACAGAACTTTATATATAGATATATTTACTGAATTCGTTTTCTATCCGTATGCAGGCGGTTTGCTCCCAATATAGGTTTTGGATTATTCTAATAGTTTTCTCAAATATGTCAAAGTTACCTAGCAGTTCCGACTGTGATGTACAGGGTGGTCCGAATGTCTTGTCACTCCATACATAATATAATTTTCTATTTCAGATGCCTGATACGAGTTCCTACAGTTTAGAAGAGAGGTAGGGAGTGACAAAACTTTCGGACCACCCTATACTTTATCAAACGTTTTTACATAATCTATAAAACATGGGTATGCATCATTCTGCATTTGTATTGCATAACTGCGTTAAATATGACGTGGAATTCTGTATATCTGCTACGGAGACGCTGCAAATTGATTCCAGTAGGTCGAGCATAGATATTTTTGGGTGACATGAGTGCTTCAAGGCCGGTCGAGTGTCGGTTAAAAAAGAGGCACGTTCTACTAGTAAAACATCAGAAAATGCAGAAGAACGATTGTACTCCTCACCCAACAATCGATCAGCTCATTTGCTTTACTGGAATTGGTTATGGAATCTACCAGGAGATTGTAGGTATAAGATTTTCTGGTGCCATCTCGTACATAATTTCTCTTGTTTACACCTTTCTGTTCAGAGGTACATTCGGTCTTATATAATCATGTGTAATATATACAACTAGAAAAACCTGTGAACATTTCCTATTTGATATTACTGATGAATCTTAATTCTTCAGTTAATGATTGAATAAGGTCAAGGCGAAGCGTAAGACAATAAAATATCCGCAGAAATTCCCTTAACGCATCGTTAAATATTTGAGCTTAAAAGCTTGAATCAAATATTGCAATAACAATCATAAATATTAACCCTGGTCCTTATTTAAAGACGTAAGAAGGTACAAATGAAATATTTGAAATTGTTAACTTTTCTATTTCACTGACACAGACGTTAAATATATGTTTATGTAAAATGGAAAAGGTTGTCAATTTCAAATCTTTCAAAGAGTGAAACGCTCTGCTAATGTCTCAAATAATAGACTGCTCCGTTTTGATTGCGAGTAAAGATGGAACAGGCATATCAGAGACACCGTTTTATTTCCCTGAAAGGAAGAAAAGAAAATAGAAGAGTTTCTGACTTTCCTTGCCTTTTCCTCTCTCTCTTTCCTTGTCTTTCCCTGCCTTTTCCTCTCCCTCTGTCCTTGTCTTTCCCTGTCTTTTCCTCTCTCTTTCCTTGTCTTTCCCTGTCTTTTCCTCTCTCTCTTTCCTTGTCTTTCCCTGTCTTTTCCTCTCTCTCTTTCCTTGTCTTTCCCTGCCTTTTCCTCTCTCTGTGTCCTTGTCTTTCCCTCTCTGTGTCCTTGTCTTTCCCTCTCTGTGTCCTTGTCTTTCCCTCTCTGTGTCCTTGTCTTTCCCTCTCTGTGTCCTTGTCTTTCCGTGTCTCTATCTCTTTCCGTCTATCTTTCATCTGTCCCTTCTTTTTATCACTCAAACCAAGTAGCGTCTCTGATATGTCTTTTCCGTTTTTCCGCGCGAGCAAAACTGTATAATTCAACAGTTCTGGAGGTATTGGCAGAGCGTAAAGTACCTGCTAACAAAGGATCTAAGGGACGCGCAAGTTGAACTACAATATGATACGAAATAATTGCTCGTGTGATGGCATGCTTATTGCTTATGCACGTGCCTCGACGGATACAAATACAGAAAAAAATCATGAAATTATAAAATATATCAACATGAAGTGAACCTGAAATCCATTTAAAAACTATCTTCAGTTTCATGCATTTATACAAGTAATACTTTTTCTTATCTTTTTTTCTTTTTCTTTTACTAATATAAGGAAGTTGAATAGACTCTTAATTAAAATTATTTTTCTTATTCCTATACATATTCGGAAATAAAACGAAATGCCTTTTTTTTTTTTATCTGGCTAAAAATTGCGTACTTTGACTTCTCTCTCGTAAAACACACGACGTTCTTCGTCATCTTGTCTTCTATTGTCGTCTGCGCCACTCAAATTATTCCATTTTCCTTTTTCCTCAAGCTCCTTTTTTTTTTCTTCTTTTTCGGCAGTCGACAATGGCGAACATTAAACATTTGGAAAGACGCCACTTGCAAAAATCACCTCGCCACTCAAACGTCTTCTTTGCTGTCTCTTCTATCTCAGTTTAGTTCGCCAACACATCTTCCACACACTCAATTTTTTTTCTGTCTTTTGTTTCTTCTATCTTCCATATTTGAGAGTGATTGTGTAAGTGCTAAGCGCTGGCAATAAGCAGAAAGAGTTCGTTTCCGAAAGTGTGATGTGACGCGCATGCTCGCTAGTCTATTTTTATCCTCAGTGTCTTGTGGCATTATTGTTTGCATTGCTATTTACACGAAAAACTCCATCTTTAAAAGATGAAAGTGCCTTTCATATCTCTCTCTGTCTCTCATATATATATATATATATATATATATTGTGTGTGTGTGTGTTAAAAAATTCTTTGATAAAATCTGACAAAAAAAAAACCTTTTTAAGGGTTTCGTGGCCATGGATAATTTTTCATCACCCCTTCGTTTTTACATATGTATGTGGGAGAGGCTACTATATCTATTATCTTCTATATATAGATTGCGCAGCAAAATTATCTGTATCGCTACGAAGATAAATACATACCGTCACTTCTTTGAATCTGTCCTGCGTCCTCTTTTTTTTTTTTTTTTTTTTGCTATCCAGAATGTCTTCTGCTATTACAATAATCTATTTATTGATCAATCAATAGGTTTCTTTCTCTTTCTCCCTTTCCACATGAAATACGTGTTTCTGTGTATATCTTTCACCTGCTTCGTACTTTTTACATATCTTAGCATTTTTTGTTGAATTTGTAAGCCCCTTGAAGAACTATCACTAGAAAACTAGTCTCGCATGCAGGCCAAAGGGTTTCAATTCCTATTATAAACGTTACTTTTTTTTTTCTATTACTTTTTTTACAAAGTGAGCTAAACTTCATAAATATCTGTTTGGATTTTCGTTTGTTTCTTTTTGTCTGCCTTTAATCACGCGTCATTGTAAATTCGAGCTTCAACTTAGCCTCGTAGGGCACAAGTCCGCAAGTATACCCATACCCCATAGTATGGCGCAAACTACTACAGTAGGAATTGCCTGCAGAACTAATTTGATAACACATTAAAGCGAAGCAAATTTTCCTTCCATTCTATTCTGCTCTGCTCTTCCTCTCTCTCCTCCTCTCTCTTCTCACCCCTCATCCTGGTCTCTCCTCACCCTCATCCTGGTCTCTCTCTCACCCTCATCCTGGTCTCTCTCTCTCACCCTCATCCTGGTCTCTCTCTCTCACCCTCATCCTGGTCTCTCTCTCTCACCCTCATCCTGGTCTCTCTCTCTCACCCTCATCCTGGTCTCTCTCTCTCACCCCTCATCCCTGGTCTCTCTCTCTGGTCATCCTGGTCTCTCTCTCTCACCCCCTCATCCTGGTCTCATCCTCTCTCTCACCCCTCATCTCTCTCTCTCTCTCTCTCTCTCTCTCTCTCACCTCATCTCTCTCTCATCCTGGTCTCTCTCTCTCTCACCCCTCATCCTGGTCTCTCTCTCTCTCTCTCTCATCCCCTCATCCTCATCCTCTCTCTCTCTCCCCCTCATCCTGGTCTCTCTCTCTCCCTCATCCTGGTCTCTCTCTCTCTCTCCTGGTCTCTCTCACCCCATCCCTCATCCTCTCTCTCTCTCTCTCTCACCCCTCATCCTGGTCTCTCTCTCTCTCTCTCCCTCATCCTGGATCTCTCTCTCTCTCTCTCTCACCCCTCATCCTGGTCTCTCTCTCTCTCTCCTCATCCTGGTCTCTCTCTCTCTCTCTCTCACCCTCATCCTGGTCTCTCTCTCTCTCACCCTCATCCTGGTCTCTCTCACCCTCATCCTGGTCTCTCCCCTCATCCTGGTCTCTCCTCTCTCTCTCTCTCACCCCTCATCCTGGTCTCTCTCTCACCCCTCATCCTGGTCTCTCTCTCTCTCATCCTGGTCTCTCTCTCTCCCACCCCCTCATCCTGGTCTCTCATCCTCTCTCTCTCACCCCTCATCCTGGTCTCTCTCTCTCTCCCCTCATCCTGGTCTCCTCCTCATCCTGGTCTCTCTCTCTCTCTCTCTCTCTCTCCCTCTCATCCTGGTCTCTCTCTCTCTCTCTCTCTCTCTCTCTCTCCCCTCATCCTGGTCTCTCTCTCTCTCCACCCTATCCTCTCTCTCCCATCCTGGTCTCTCTCTGGTCATCCTCTCTCTCTCACCCCTCATCCTGGTCTCTCTCACCCCTCATCCTGGTGTCTCTCTCTCTCACCCCTCATCCTGGGTCTCTCTCTCTCTCACCCCTCATCCTGGTCTCTCTCTCTCTCATCCTGGTCTCTCTCTCTCTCTCTCACCCTCATCCTGGTCTCTCCCGTTCTCTCACCCTCTTCCCTCTCTCTCTCTCATCCTGGTCTCTCTCTCTCCACCCTCTCCCTCTTTCTCCACCCCTCATCCTCCCTCTCTCTCTCTCATCCTTTCCTTCTCTCTTGTCTCTCCTGTTCTCCTTCTTATTTTCCACTTTTACTCTTTCTCTCCACCTTTCCTTCTCTCTTGTCCCACCTCTTATTTTCCACTTTTCTTTCTCTACTCTATTCACTCCCTCTCTTGCGAATATGAATGTATAAGAGGAACGCTAAAATTAGTGAGGTGTACTCACGCACAAATATATATATATATATATGTATTTTTTCTTCCGTCTTATTATTGACTGCATAGATGCATGATGCTCTATAGATCCACGTCGCAATATAGCATTATTACGACTTTTATATCTAGCGCGACGATTCCCGCTTCCAGTTCAATCAAATCTTGAACGTCATATTCGGATTTTAAATTTAGACATAAATAAATAAATACAAATGTGTGCTTTGTACTGCGGTATTAGATGCATTCGTCTTTCTACATTTAATGATTTTCTGTCAGCTCGATCCAGAAGAGTCAAGCACAATTTTGGGGCGAGTGACGAAAGTAAAGAGTTTTCGCTTTTTCTGGGTCGGAATAGGAAAGGCTTATTATTTCTCGTGTACGAGAGAAAAGAAGAGAATAAGCTCTAACCCTTCCCACCTAACCCCTGCATTCTTTCTCGCAAAGAACTTGGCAAGTTTGCCAATGATGATACATGTGCAGCTGGCTGGTCGGTGGTCGGCTACAAAAATCAATTCTCACTTTTTATCGCGTTCTCTCGTTGGACGGAATAAACAGATGGGTGAACGGGTTGTCAGGTGGGAAGAAGCCGGAATAAAAAAAAAAAGAAAAGAAAAAAAAGGAAAACAAAATCCAAATAATCAGATACAAAATAAATAAATAAAAATAAAACAAAAAAGAAGAAAGAAAATCAGGAAACAGTTGCCAAATAAATCTGAGTAAACACTTGATCACGCGAGAGAATGAACGAGAGTGAAAGAGAACAAACAAACAAACAAACAAATAAGAGCTATTATAACAAAAGTAAACAAGAGTCGAAGTTAGTTACACATCTGACGAGGGTTGAGTGCCGCGGCTGTTTAGGGTAAAAGCTTATCTTTTTTTATTTATTTGGGTAAAAGTCTAGAATAGGAGTCATAATTCTCATTCAAAAAAAAAAGGCGAGTTAAAAATATATATATATATATATATATATATATATATATAATATATATAATCAATTATTGTTTTTAATATATTTTCAAATACATTTTTTTTTTCTGGAAATATATATTTAGATATATATTCCCATTCGTTCGGTACTTTTCGGTTCCTTTTTCTTTGAGAAAATGCTTTAGATCAGTGATTCTTAACTTCCCCACCCCTTTCAAACCACCAACCAGTTTTCGCACTCACCCCCAGAAATGATGAAAAACAATATTGATTACATGTGTAAATAACAAAATTATTGACTATAACTCCAGTTTACAACAATTGTCTTTCGTAGTTTATAAACTAACTCGGTAATAATTAACGTATACTTTCATATAATTCAAATTCCTTTCTGAAATTATTAACGAGGTCTTAAATATGTCTATATAAAAATATTTACACCATCCGTCACGTATAAATTATTCTATATAAGTGCAAACATAATTCAACAACATTTAAACATCACATTTGAGGAAACACATCTCAACAATATGTGAGCGGTAGTTTTTTTTTTTTTTTTTTTAAGCGTTACACCCCAAGCAAGGCGGGAAGCCACTAGCACTCAAGGGGTTACAGAGAGTTGGAGCAAGAGCAAATAGGAGTGATAGAGGAAAGGATGAAGAGAAGGATAGGGGATAGATCAGGGCATCTGGAGATGTCAATTGACATTACATTTGAATAGTTGGAGATTATAGCTATCAGGGAAACAAGAAAAGGGGAGGGAGGGAGTTCCACAGGCGAGAAGTGTGAGACATGAAGCTATTGGAGTAGAAGAGTCGGCTACATTTAACAGTTTCGACAGTGAAAAGGTGAGAGCGAGATGCTAGCCTAGTTGAACGCTTAAATTCATGAAGTCTGGGAACGAGTGAAAGCATCTCATCGGAACAGTTACCGTGAAAGTATTTGTAAAATTGCATATCCGTCTCTGGATTTTATCAAGGACCTTGAGACAAACAGAAGGGGCTCCAGACCATATATGGCAGCAATACTCCATGTAAGGGCGAATGGTTGATTTGTAGATTTGAAGGATCGACTCCGGCGAGAAAAATTTCATTGCGCGGCACAGGGAGCCAACTTTCCTTGAGGTGGACGAAGCTATTGACTCACTGTATTCATTCCATCTCAGGTCAGCCGACAATGGTGAGTAATAGAGAGCAGTTTTGTTTTTGAGGCATTAAAGTTAACCAGCCAATTCCTGTCCCAGTCCACAACCGATTGGAGGTCCTTTTCGAGACAAACGGCCAGGTTAGTTTTATCAGCGTCACTAGATTTGTTTTTGAGGTAGGAGTAAATAGTAGTGACGTCCGCATAGATGCCTACTTGGGAACCGATGACGTTAATGAAGATAAGAAACAGAGTAGGGCCGAGAATAGAGCCTTGGGGAACACCTGCGTTCGTGGGATAGGAGCTGGAGGAGAATCGTTGAGAACGACCTTCAATACACGGTTTGACAAGAATGATTGTAAGTAAGTGGGCAGAGATGAGTTGGTACAGCTTGCAACTTAATGTGGCCTCAGGGTTGCCCACCGGAGATGAATGCAGGGACACCTTTCCATGCGCGACATGGCACTACAGACACCCCGGTATTATACAACTGTTGATCAGTGGCCGCTCTAGACGCTACGCAAGAGTTACGGCTCCTAACTACCAGTCGGAAACAGCAACCAGAAAACTGTCAACCGTGTACGCACAGAATGAAGAGGTACTGCTACAGACTGTACACATCCCGGGAGAAACACGGCAGCACTAGTACAGAGGCCAGAGAGAAAAAGAGGGAGAGTTCTGGGAACCCCTTCCTAAACAAGAAACAAGGTGTGAGCCTCTACACTTGTCCAAGAGAAGGAGGAGGATTATTGACCGGACAGTAGGAAAGCCTACCTGCTCCTATTACATACAACACACACACATACACAAAAAAAGGCTACAGCTGACAAGAAGTCCAAGCTGATAGCTGAAGACATACTTACCGAGGTATAGGAATGGGATTTTATTATTATTTTTCCCTTCCACTAAGTTTTAACTTAGTATAAGTTCCATTGTCCTATCCTAAAAACAAAGTTGGTTATCCAGCATTGAGAATATGTCATATAATTCTACTTACATATGGTAGCTAGTGTTCATATTCACCGCCTTCCATTCTCATAGTCAGTTAGTGAATAGTTGAGGCTGACTTTTTATCACCAAGCTCTTATGTTTCAAAGAACGCAGAGCTGGCGGGAGGGGGGGGGGTCCCCCAACACCAACAATGGGCTTGGGGTCTCTGCTTTCAATAAAATGAAACAGACAACGGGAAGAAAGATACGGCCAAACAATTTCCTCAGTAGTCCCCATTGTATCTAGCAAAGTAATCTTCCCACTAGAACATAAGACTACAGTCAAGGTAGGTTCACGTGCTGTCCAAGACGACTTTTTTTTTTTTTGTTGGAAGGAAGATTTCCAACTAAGTGACTTACAGGGTTACAAATTAGGTTAGAATAATTAGAGCACAAGAAAAGTAAATAAATAAGTTAAATCAATAAAACGGAAAAAAATTCTATTTGCATATGCCAGCTAGTGTTCACTTTCACCGTCTTCCATTCTTATGGTCAGTTAGTGAATTGTCGCAGTAATACGTTTCGGAATTAGTCTTAAATAAAGACTAGTATGCAGCATTTCAGAAAGAGAAACGACTTAACGACTTCTCTCGAAGATGGATTACATCAGAAAACTATTTTAGTATAGAGAAACCACACAAATTTGTGCATGTGTGGATCCCCAAAATGACCCAGTTTCATCGTCGTATTACTGCAGATGTCAGAATCATTTCAATGAGGTGGTTCTGTCTGAGAGATTAATTACCAGGAAACAGGCTTGCTTTATTTGTATAGTGTCTCGCCTGAAAGACGAATCACGATTGATTCCAATCGAAAGGCCAAACTGGGATTGTATTAATTCTCCTCACGGAGTAAATACGACATAAGGTCTATTCGCACGCGTACATGTGGACCAAGACGGTGACGAAAAAATTACCCAGTAGAATCTATCGCAAAAGATACTAGCAAAATCATCGGTTCCTTGTAGCGAGCGCTCAAGTAAGTATCGGACTCCTTCTGTGATGCTCATATCTTTACAAAACTCAGACGAAAAATGTATCACTGGGCTGGAACTTCCCAATCTTCACTTACCACCCCTGACAAAATTCAAAATCATCTATGCTATGAATTGTTTTCTATCCTACAGCCAAATCTGCTTTTTGACCGTGCATTGAATATTGCTGCCATATCTGGTTTGGAGCTCCTGCTATTCATCTCGAGGTTCTTGACAAAATCCAAAGAATCTGTAATTTAATCGATCCTGACATGGCATCTCGACTTCAGTCCCATTCTAACCAATGTAACGTAACTTCCCTCTACCTATTCTACAAATATTTCAAATGCTCTGACGAGTTTTTTTCCCTGGTGCCACAGCTACATGAATATAAGTGTGCTACTAGATTGACATTTAGGTCCCACCTGTTTACAGTTGAAATAGTTAAATGCAACCACCACTTCTATTCCAACAGTTCTTTCTCACACTTCTCGCCTGTGAAACTCCATTCCATTTACGTGCTATTCTCTGATGAATACAGTCTTCAAAAATTTAAATACGACATCAATCGCCATCTGATATCTTCTTTAATCCAGTTCATCTTTTGTCTTTTCCTCAATCCTCTCTACTGTCTTTTCCTCAATCCTCTCTACTGTCTTTTCTCTCGCTTTCACTCCTTGTACCCCCCTCCCCCGCGTAATAGAGGCACTTCCGCCTTGCTTGGGGTGAAATGACAAAAAAAAAGTGATGACATCTTAACTGAACCAATACCTAAATTCATAAAAGCTTAGCGAATCGAATGTTGGATTATCCGTAAATAATCTAGCTAAAAATATAATTAACTATCATTGTTGAGGCTGAAACAGGGTTTTCTGTAATTAGCATAATTTATTCAAAAGAAATAATCTTCAAGTTAAGAATGTGGTAAATCTTTTAGCCATAAATTTGATAGATCTTCCATTGGATGTTTGGGAGTGTAGCAATTCAGCTCGGATGCGGCTAAGAAACTTTAACACAGCTGATGACAAGTCAAAAAGCATAAAACTTCTGCACAGAAATGGGATGAAAAAAGAATTTCAATCTGGAAATATCTTAATAAATAAATGTTTTCTGTTAAATTGTCAAAATTGTTTAATTCTTTTTGATATGATAAAGTGATTTGTTTCCAATCTCAGATTAAAAAGAAAATAAGCAGAATAAGTTCCTAAAGACTATCTGCCTTTATAGAACCGATTCCTGGAAATTTGCGATGCCATGATTGCATTGTACTGCAGACAAGCAAAACTAAAGTTGCCATTTAAATTGATTGTGGAGAAGTATAAATCCGGAAAAATTAGACTTCAAATGATGTTGGATTCCTCCAAGGATAAAGCAATAAAAGCATTAAAGCCTACATTAAAAACAAGGAGAAAGTGGAAGGTCAGAGAGACAATAACAAGTGCTAAAGACAATCTAGCTTTCAATGAAGTCATCAGATACACTCAAGCAGGGAAACAAGGGTTAGGACTAAATGAAAGGCAATGGTGGTCGAAAACTTCTGATAAAGATCGCCGTGACAGGGTCATCCAAAATGTGATGAACGAAGAAGATAAAAAAAGACTCGTAAAAGAAATGCAGCAATCCCAACGAGGCCAATGGACAAACTGGGAAGAGGCTCTGCAGAAATCTATTACTTGGAAGGACATTTGGCAGATGGCTTCACTCAGGTTATTTAATACGTTCCACGTATGACCTGCTACCATCTAAGAACAATCTTGTTAAATGGAAGAAAGAGAGTGATCCTACTTGTCCCCTGTGTAAGGAAAAGCTACAAACATTAGAACTTGTTCTTAGTTCCTGTAAAACAGCCCTTGTCAATGGAAGATATACATGGAGGCACAATAGTGTTTTGGATGACCTGGTCAAAATAATAAAGAAATATATGAAGTCTGAGTCATCTAATTCAGCCCAGAAATTTGTTGCAGAAGGAAAAAGATATGTCGGTTCTAAGCAAACAAGCAAATGTCATGCTATACCCAGAAAAATCTCCTTAGTTCTGGTGGCATCTGTGAAGTATCTGCAGACCTTCCTGGTTGGCGTAATGGTTACCCCAAAATAATATCAAGTAAAGGTCTGCGACCAGATATTGTTCTTCTGTCAAGGGTGAACTATAAAATCATCCTGGTTGAATTAACAGTACCATATGAATGCCGGATGGAACAAAGCCACGATTATAAAACTAATAAATATGAAAATCTAAAATCAGAGCTAATAAAGGAGGGGTATAATGCAATTGTTAGAGCAGTGGAAATTGGAGCAAGGGGTTTCGTTTCAGGCACTCTGTACCAATTTCTGGGCCAAATTGGAATCAAAGGGCGTAATAGGGCCAAGAGTATAAAACGT